GAAGTTGGGCTCCTAGGTGCCGCTGGGCTCGGACTCCGAGGGGCTCTGAGAGTCTTTGGATTCGGATGCCAACGAACTCTGGACACAAACGCTGCTAGGTACAGACGCCGATGGGTGCTAGTCACCANGTGTTATCACCTAGTGCTGGGCGCTTGAAGTTGGGCTCCTAGGTGCCGCTGGGCTCGGACTCCGAGGGGCTCTGAGAGTCTTTGGGTTCGGACGCCAATGAGCTCTGGACACAGACGCTGCTAGGTACAAACGCCGATGGGTGCTAGTCACCGCTAGGCACAGATACTAAGGGGCGATGGGCGCTGCTAGGCATGGATGCCGAGGGGCGCCCTGGTGTGGCCTCTGGGCATTCTGGTGAGGGACCACATGGTGGGGGGCTGCATGGCGCCCAGAAAGAATAGATTGTTGCTCTTTTCCTGTTGGGGCTCCTCCCACAGGGTGAAGGGCAACGCCTCCTTGGGCGAGCATTAGTTAAATGATCTGTTGATTTTGACTCACTAACAGCTACATGATTTTGAGGAGCTGTTGTCCGACGACAGGGTCGCCGTAGCAGATGGTTCTGATGGTGCGAGGGGAGACGTAGCCTTCTCTTGGTGGGCNTTGACTCACTAACAGCTACATGATTTTGAGGAGCTGTTGTCCGACGACAGGGTCGCCGTAGCAGATGGTTCTGATGGTGCGAGGGGAGACGTAGCCTTCTCTCGGTGGGTCGGGTTGTTATCTCCCAGTTGTTGACTCATTGATCTAGTAGTGATTGTCATGGATTGAAAAAGAGTAGAAAATTAGTCATTTTTCACAAACGACGTCAAACTAATGATGTCCAAATCGGTCTCGTATAAAATTAACAATCAAGAATATAAATAGAGGCAATCAATGAACAATAACATAGACAATTAATGGTAAAGCGGTAAACAAAGAGGTAACACAGGGATTTATAGTGGTTCAGTCCGAGTGACCTACTCCACTCTCGTAAACGACAGCGGTGGCCTGAGTTTTTTTATTAATGGGTGAAGTCGTCGGAGAGAGTATTCTCTAAGAGTATTACAGTGTTTAGAGAAGAAGAGAGGAGGGTATATAAGGGGAGGTGTAAAGGCTTCAGAGGCGTGCCTTCAATACTGAGTGAGTGTACATTATAAAGTGAAGGTAAGACGGTGACGTGAGTGAGAAGTCTTCCATNGTAACACAGGGATTTATAGTGGTTCAGTCCGAGTGACCTACTCCACTCTCGTAAACGGCAGCGGTGGCCTGAGTCTTTTTATTAATGAGTGAAGTCGTCGGAGAGAGTATTCTCTAAGAGTATTACAGTGCTTAGAGAAGAAGAGAGGAGGGTGTATAAGGGGAGGTGTAAAGGCTTCAGAGGCGTGCCTTCAATACTGAGTGGGCATACATTATATAGTGAAGGTAAGACGGTGACGTGAGTGAGAAGTCTTCCATAATTTTAGTAAGTACAATCTTAGTAGGATTAAATCTTCGTATCCCGATATTCTCTCGTTCGTGTCCCTATTCCATCGGAGGATGATCCTGATCTTGAGCTTGGACCCGAACTTGGGGCTTGCATTGGAATGAAGAAGGGAGGTGAGGAATAGGACGGCAGGCCATGGGCGGCGCCCACTTGGAGACCATATGGGTGGCGCCCCCTTTGGGGATCCTNTTCTCTCGTTCGTGTCCCTATTCCATCGGAGGATGATCCTGATCTTGAGCTTGGACCTGAACTTGGGGCTTGCATTGGAATGAAGAAGGGAGGTGAGGAATAGGATGGCAGGCCATGGGCGGCGCCCACTTGGAGACCATATGGGTGGCGCCCCCTTTGGGGATGATGCTTGCCTTTTGATGTCATTTTGAATTTTCTCTTAATGGGTCGATCCAGCTCTAATTGGATTCTTCTTTGGGTTTTCTTGGTTTAAATTAATTGGGCTTGACCCAGTCAATTTTGGACTCATCATATAACATTGATAATCAAACCAAATTTTGTAAACTCAAGTTGAGTTTGTCTCTTTTTTTAATCGAATCTAAAAAATTGTTCAAATTCAATTCATTTAAAAATCGAGCTGAGCCAAACCGAGCCTAAAACGAATTGAACCTAAGCAGAGGTCAAATAGNTTGGGCTTGACCCAGTCAATTTTGGACTCATCATATAACATTGATAATCAAACCAAACTTTGTAAACTCAAGTCGAGTCTATCTCTTTTTTTAATCGAATCTAAAAAATTGTTCAAATTCTATTCATTTAAAAATCGAGCTGAGCCAAACCGAGCCTAAAACGAATTGAACCTAAGCAGAGGTCAAATAGCTCCATTATTTTACATATAAACGAGCCAAATTTTTGTGAACTCGAGTCTAGTCTTTTAGGAGTTAAAATATTGTTTAAGTTCAATTCGTTTAAAAAACAAGTGAAGTGCAAAACAAACTAAAGTCGACCCGAACCCAAATAAACTAACTCGATTATCAACCCTACGCACAAATCACTAANTTTTTGTGAACTCGAGTCTAGTCTTTTAGGAGTTAAAATATTGTTTAAGTTCAATTCTTTTAAAAAACAAGTGAAGTGCAAAACAAACTAAAGTCAACCCGAACCCAAATAAACTAACTCGATTATCAACCCTACACACAAATCACTATTAATATATACTTACATGTATTTGATTTTTTTGATTATCTCCATTACAAATCATAAATTTATCAAATACTAAAATATAGATTTATTCAAACATAATGAACGTGGTTTAAGTTTGATATTACTAGAAAATTGGATGTGGAACCCATTTTTGGGTTGAGGTGGATTCTAATATTTTTATTCTCCATTTCTCTTATTGCTAGATTTTTTTTTCTAGTTATTAACAAGAAGCTTACATGTATATTATAAATTTCACTTAAATTTATATTAGTACAATATCTTATTAAAATACTATTATTTTTAATTTTATTTTATTAAACTACTGTTGTTTTTCTAAAAATGTATTTTAGCTTACTTCGAAAACACTCTTTAAAATAGTATTTTTAAAAACACTTTTAGTGCAAAGTAGTGTTTTGAAAAAATAAGCGCTTTAAAAAAATAACGATAATTTAATAAATAAATTTAAAATTATGATTATTTAATTAAAAAGGATAAAAATACTATAGCGGAAAAATTAATTGGACGTATTATACACGGTTACATGGCAGGACGCCCATCCAATCATCGCTTCGTCGGTGCTTTTCTCTCTCACTCGTCTTGCTCTCGAGGGCCACCAACCAATCCAGGCTCAGCCTATTAATAATTGGTTAGTCCTCAGTTTTACCATACACAAAGCTGTCAAATTCCCCAATTGTCCCTAAGGCCCTTTTGACACAAAAAGTCAAGTCAACACACAAATGCATATTTTCCAACTTCCAAATATTGAATTGACATAATTACCCTTTCATAATTGAAGTAACATGAGAGTTGTGTTTTCTCAAATTAAGAACGAAAAAACACAAATAAGTCCTATNTCCAACTTCCAAATATTGAATTGACATAATTACCCTTTCATAATTGAAGTAACATGATGAGAGTTGTGTTTTCTCAAATTAAGAACGAAAAATCACAAATAAGTCCTATTTTTTTCTTTAAAAGAATCATTCAACTCTATCATGTTTACCTTAGGACAATTAAGTCATATTTTTTATAATTTATTCTCAAGAAATCCTATACTTCATCAATAATATGTGGGTTTTTTTTAATTTTATTTTTTTCATCAATACGATAATTAACAATAAAGACTTATATNAGAAATCCTATACTTCATCAATAATATGTGGGTTTTTTTTAATTTTATTTTTTTCATTAATATGATAATTAACAATAAAGACTTATACNTATGTGGGTTTTTTTTAATTTTATTTTTTTCATCAATACGATAATTAACAATAAAGACTTATATAAATGATAAATCATACAATTTTATTTTTTCTTATATTTAACTTTTTTAAGCATATAAAGTTCGATTCACTTGACTATTAAATTTCAACTATAAAGACGTACAATTACATAAAGTAACAATGTAAAAGCTACTCTACGAGTATAATCATTGTAAAAAAATAATCTAATTATGTTTTTTTTAACTTCTTTTTCCATGCTTTGAATTAATTAGAAAAAAATTATTATTTCAAGGCACTAAAAATAATTCAAGCATTCAAAGTTACTATGTTTTATTTAAGAGATAAACTAAAAAATATTTATTTAAGTAATTATTTTTATACTATTTAAAATTCACTCGCATATGGACTCCTATATTTCGATAAGGTGGATTCAATAAATATAAATGAATAACATTATAAATAAAAATATATTTTTTGATTTTATGAAAAGGATAAAATTGGAAAAAAATAAACTATTAATAGAGTTCATAATTTTTTGGGAATAAATTATCAAAAGTATATCTTAATTATCCTAAAATAAATATGATAAGTAAAAACAAAAAAAAGTAAGAATTACTGACATATTTTTTTATTAAAAATAAATTTATATTAATAATTGCATGAAGTATACGAGACCGAGAGAAATTAATGCTTAAAAGGACTAATGGGATGATTTAAAAGGTCAAGACAATTCATGAATAGCGAATTTGAGGCTTACATAAGTGGACAAATTAATAGTCACATGAAACTTGATAAATTGTTATTTGAATCTTTTTTGATTAATTGGTGACTTAGCAGACATTTAATATCAATTAATAATCTATTTTTCTAATAGTATACTTAATAATATGAAGGTTTTGGAGTTTACATTTTTTATTGGGATTATCCAATGAATTTCTCCAAACAATCATCTTCTTTTTTTTCTTTTTTTTAAGACCCTATAATGATTCTATGTTCATTATGTCATATTGTTGACATTATTGAGGGTATTACGGTAATATTGTACCCAAATGCCTAAACCACTTTAGGAAAGATTCACAAGGGTATGACTGTCCTTTAAAACCTAGCTAAAGTACACCGGAGCCTATGTTCCCCCTCCTCTTATTCAACCATCTCTCTCTTTCTCTCCACCAGGTCCACCACCATGCATCTACCACCTTTTGTTTTGTTTTTCCTCTCATAATGTCTTGTTTGTGATCTCTCTCTGTCTCCCCCCTTTGCCTCACCACCTTCCCTTTGTAATCCGTTCACCCACCTGAAAGATTTGGCTCTCAAGCCCCGGCTGATTGTCATCGGTTACCACTCGCAACTACCAGCCTTCTCGCCTTTGCCTCTTAGGTACGAACACAAAGACACTTGACTCCTAGTGCCTGGTATTGCTTCTTTGTTTTAGGCTTAGGCTTCTACATGCATATACAATTTGGTTTAACGCCAAGAATACGGCCATGGGCTCTTGCTTTTGATGGGTTTGAAGGGATGTAAGTGCTGTATTCCATGTTGGCCATGTGGGTTTTTCTTAATTTCATTGGTCCTGCTTGAATTCGTGTGTATTGGACTTGGTTTTTGTAAATATGTTATTTGTTTCTTTGCTTATTCTTCCTCCACAAAAGGTGGTAGGTTGATGGGGTTGACTTATTTTTCCAAGGAGAGAGATTAGAAATTCTTCAAAAGGAAGGTTTGGGTGTTTTTGTTGATTTCTATAGAAGTTATTAGGTGCTCGGTTTTGAATTGCTCAGGCTAGAAAACACAATTAGCGATAGGCACTAAGTTTACCAACTACATCAATGCAATATTTCCCCAAAAAAGGTACTTTTAGTTTTAGCCGTTCAGGTCTCTAATTGCTTGACAGTTCTTACAATGACACATCACTTGACCTTTTGTATTGCTTTTTTTTTTTTTNACCAACTACATCAATGCAATATTTCCCCAAAAAAGGTACTTTTAGTTTTAGCCGTTCAGGTCTCTAATTGCTTGACAGTTCTTACAATGACACATCACTTGACCTTTTGTATTGCTTTTTTTTTTTTTAGTAATTACGTGCTTCGCCAAACTTGGTCGAGGCTACTTCTTTGTGTAGTTCATAGAATTCTATGAACACTTGAACAGGGTTGGCTACAGATTTCTGCATCTAGTTGGTAATGAAAGTTTGAGTGGGTAAATAGTTCAAGAATCCTTCTCAGGCCACCTCATAATGTTCACCGTCACTATTTCTTCTTGTTGCGATTCGAACAATAGCTTCGTAGTTACTAATACCCTGATACTGGTTCCTGCTATTAAATGACAGCATTCTGCTCATTCAATATGTGCATTAAATGATGTTGCAATATTAGCAAGCTGTGATGGTTTCAAGATGTTGNCTGCTCATTCAATATGTGCATTAAATGATGTTGCAATATTAGCAAGCTGTGATGGTTCAAGGGGATGCAAAAAAATATATATATATTTTTTTCTTTGTTATTTATTTTACTCTTAATTTGATTAACTTTCTTGGCTTATCTGAAACTCGCTTCCACATTTGTCTATTAATATCTTCTTTTTTTTTGTTCCCTGAAAATTCAAGGTCATTAACTGAGGAGTTGTTCATTCTAGGAATCTTGAAATCATCCATGGTGAGCATCCGAAGGCGCAAGCTTTTAGGACTTTGCTCTGGTATGCCAAAGTTGACATATTATTTGATTAATTGTAGATTACTTCATTTGGATATATTGTCCACTATTTTGAAGAGAGCTTGAAGTGTTTATAGATTTCAAATGCACTTTTCTTTGCCTGTTGGTTGAATAAATTATGGAGTAGGTGAAGTAAAACATAGTAATTGAACTTCACATTTTGTTTAATTCGCCAATATTAATGATATCCTATGGGCCTTTGTAGGACGAAGTTCTTTCCTGGATCCACTCCCTTGGTTTTCTGACTATGGACGCACTCCTGAAATTTGCATCCGGAACACAAAACCAGTTAGTGTGCATCCCATGTCTTCAGTTAATGTTGAGCAGCCAAAGGAGGTAAGCATGGATTTCTTAGAAGTTCTGTTTATCTTCATATGCACTGTTCAATTCTATTTGAGCCCACTTTCCAAAGAGTTGATCATGGCTAATTGACATGCATCAGATATGGTAAATTACTCCTATATTTTGTGCTAAATTAGTTTCTGGCCTATGATTAAATGCTGACCTTATTAGAGTGTAGATTATGGAGCATTGTTTAAGATCTCAGGAATATTGATCCTCCATCATAAGGAAGTATAGGATTTAGATTGGTTTTTGAAATCTAAAATGCTCTTGTTCCACAGCACAAATGACAGACTTAATATCCGTTTTTTGTCCCCTATCCCTAAAACAATCAGAAAACCCCAAATCTCTGTAATATATATTAGCAGTATATTGCCTCATTCGAATCCTCATCCAAATAAACCCATGAGGCAATGAATCATATGATGCTGAAGCTAAAATGCTATTTGAGCTTGGAGTTAAACTAGTACCACGTGAATAGCTGTGTTATATGTTAGCTCTTAATGGTTGGTGTTGAGTTTTAAAGCTAGGTGACAAGGTGAGGAAGACAACATTNCTGAAGCTAAAATGCTATTTGAGCTTGGAGTTAAACTAGTACCACGTGAATAGCTGTATTATATGTTAGCTCTTAATGGTTGGTGTTGAGTTTTAAAGCTAGGTGACAAGGTGAGGAAGACAACATTAGGATGAGTTAGTTTAAGTGGATATTTGGTCCAAACTTGAGTTAAGGATCTGTCCCATTTTACATAGGTGAAGGAGAATGAGGATTTGCCCTCTTATAAGGTTCTGTCCTTTATACAATGTTAAGAAAACAAAAACTAGGGAAGAATGCTCATTCTACATATCTACAGCTTCCTCCGGCAGCTTGGGGATTCAGATGGTTGTAACTGTGTCCAATTAGTATAATGTGTTTGTCGCAGTGTTGATTTTGACAGAGTCAGTAGAATTTCAGATGAGTTATAGGGAGTGCATTTTAATACTAACCTCAGGTGGACGAGAAGTGGTGTTTGGATCTGATGCATAATTAGTTATACATTTGACTGTTTGTAGGTTTATCGTAGCAAGTTATAGCAGCAGTCCAAGGATAATTTATCTATGCATACGGTTTAAAGTAACTTCAATGTTATGTTCCCAAACCAACTTTCAGCCTTTAAATAGGTTAATATATCTGATGAGATGATGGAACATATATACTGCCTTCACAGAGGTATAAAAACATAATTTATAAGTAGCAAATGCATTTCATTTTGTACTTCAAGGTTGCATTTGTACATCATTTGTGCATATATTTATGTTACATTTGCTGTTTCCCAGAAAACCATCTCAAAAGTTGGTCCTGGATCATCAAACATTTCTGGTTCTGATTCATCAAAAGAGCAGCATAATCAACAATTCCCAGGTTTGTCTTATTTTATTCACATGTAAACACGATTACCGGCCTCATGGATTGAAAATTATCTAGTGTTCTCAGGCCCTGAGTTATTATTCATGAATCGTTTCATGATAACCATCACATGGACAAAAGAAGAGTTTTTGGATGTCTGATATGCATGTATTTTGTGGGTAGAATTTTTATTGACGGTACTTGGTAAATTTAGTGTTAAACCACCACCCTCTGCTCTAGAAGTTTACTCATTGGAGAGGGTATAACTTAAATATTTATTTACTTTAACTTCCCGCCTCCCCCTTCACATGTGAGTTAGTTTTTGGACCATACATGTGGAAATCTTTAGGGTGGCGGGCTGGCGGCAGAATTCAAATTTAGGACTCTTGCTTTGATACTGTGTTAAACCACCTTCTACTCTAAAACCTTAAACTATTGGAGAGGGTATAAATTAAATGTTCATATACTGTAACATTCTAAAAACTTGGAAAATAAACTATCTTCATCCATGTNTCTTTAGGGTGGCGGGCTGGCGGCAGAATTCAAATTTAGGACTCTTGCTTTGATACTATGTTAAACCACCTTCTACTCTAAAACCTTAAACTATTGGAGAGGGTATAAATTAAATGTTCATTTACTGTAACATTCTAAAAACTTGGAAAATAAACTATCTTCATCCATGGTATGGGGTTGGACTATAGGTGCAGACGACCTCTGCTTTTGTAGCCCTCATAACTTATTCAGTTTTCAATATGTTAATTACCCCACCTCGATAGATTCTCTAAACAGAACTGCCTTTTTGCTGGAATCTCTTAGTGAAAGAGAGGGCGTGGGAATTGTGATAGGATGCCCCGATGTTACTGACCGTTGCTTTTTTTGCAATGCCAGAAGTCAAACGAAGAAAACGACACAGGAGGAAGCATTTTGAAAACCAAGAACCATGTGTTATGAGAGGTGTCTATTTCAAGAATATGAAATGGCAAGCTGCAATAAAAGTTGACAAGAAACAAATCCACTTGGGAACTGTTGGCTCTCAAGAAGAAGCTGCTCGATTGTATGACAGGTATTTAATACTAAATTTTACTCTGCTTATACCAGTGATTATTAGACAAGGGATTTTTCCTCTTTTCGATGCAAGATGTAAATATCATTACAGGATAAAAAATTTGAAACGCATGAAAATCTGAGTTGTTGGTAAATTCAAGTTGCAAGACCTTCTCAACTATCTCCTATTATCCCTGNCATGAAAATCTGAGTTGTTGGTAAATTCGAGTTGCAAGACCTTCTCAACTATTTCCTATTATCCCTCTGTTATTCTTCACAGCTTTCTAACTTAATTCATATGTTATATTGAATGTAGGCAGGTTGGTCATACCTGCTGCATGCTTACTGTCCTTTCTCTTTGCCTTTTAATGCCGTCTAATTTAAACTTAAAACCAGGTGCAATCATTGGTCTTCATTGCAAATAATATTTAAATGCTCGTCCATTTGTACATGTCTGTTCCCTTCTTTCATGGCGTACACGATCTAAATCTATCCAGTCTTTCATGTCGGACAACTATTGATTGGTTCCATTTTCACGCTTGTTCAGGGCTGCTTTTATGTGTGGGAGGGAACCCAACTTTGAACTCTTGGAAGAGGAGAAGCAGGAACTTAGGAAATTCAAGTGGGATGAATTCTTAGCAATTACTCGTTCCGCAATTACAATCAAAAGTAAATTACATTTCCTTCGCGATCTGTTTCAGTATTGGTATCTTCTGTTCTTTAATGGTTGCCATATGTGAAATTTGCAGAACACCGTAGAAGAACTGGGGCAGGTTCACGTAAAAAGCCCGAGCCATTGAGACAGAGCAGTGACTGGGAGGGCGAGCAAGGAGGCAATGACTTCTCAGCTTCAGAATACCTAGAGCCAGACACATCGGTATCCTGATATTTTTCATTCAGGAGTAAGGCTGAACAACCTAGTTTTAACAATTTTCTGTTAGCCATTCAGCCTTTTCTATCATTATATCTTATTTCATTTTTGGTGTATAAAGGCCCCTATTCGGGCAGATGGATGTGAAATTTAACTTCTAGTAAGATTTCCACGTCTTTAATTTAATAAAGAATTCACCTGCCATCATTTCAAGAATATAGCTTCTGCTTAATATGATACCCCCATTTCATGAAAGGTAAGCTCAAGTCTTCATGTTTTTATTTTGTCTGTGAATCACCATGTTTGTTGCGGCTCTTCTGAGTGCTGGTTGATATGTAGTAGCTTCTTAGCCTTGTTACTCTACCATAACATTCAACATAACAGGCTGCTTCAGATTGGAGAAATTTCTATTGTCCTTCAAATTCTCAGTTCTCAGGCTGTTACAATGGTCTAATTATAATCGAAGGATTTAGTTTAGTTTCAAAATTCATTGCAACACGACTGATCTTAGAAGGACATTTGCCTATGAACCAGCAATGAGACCATTGTAAAAGCATTCATCTTGTTCTTTTCAGTTGGCTTTTGGAAACCTTGCTTGTTTAGATCTTCAAGGAGTACTCATGACATATACTGGCAAGACTTGTGAGTTTTAAGGTCTGACTGGAACAGAGGTCCTTCAAATGCTACGCGCCACGCCACTTAACTCTACTTGGTACTACCCCATTTTTGCATACGCTTTTCAGAACTTGATACATCGTGAATGTGGATGGAGCATTGGTGTATTCAACTCCTCCATGTCAATGAATTTAGCATGGCAGACAAGAGAAGTCATCGGTAGCAGTTTTGAGTAGACGATACTAAGGCAGGAAGGCATTAATGGCAGCAGGCAAGAGAGAAGTCACCTGCACATTTTAGTAGATGATAGTAAGATTGTAAGGTAAACGAAAGTACTCCAATTGGCTGGTTCTTGATTCAAGTAAAGGCTCGAATGAGATCAACTATTTGAAGTTTGTGAAATTATCAAGCTCAATTTGAGTTTTCCCTTATCAACTATTGTTTAGCTCAAAATATGAAAATTTAGAAATATGCAGTGGATTGATATCTAGCATTTCTTAGCTTACTAAGAATGTGCCACGTGGCAGAAGCCCAATCGAGATAGAAAGATGGTCAGTTACAATCATGTTTAAACAAAAAAAAGGTTAAATATTGAGAGTTACTATTGAGTTATTGTCAATGGAAGTACAACTATCGAACAAAATGACTATAAAAGGGACAATAAAAAAAAAGGGACACATTTTCAAACTCCCAAAAATACGAAATAACCATATCGGATGCATCGGATGGACGTCAAGTGGTTGATATTATCCCTCCAGGACCAGAATTTCTTGTTTTAACAGGCGAATCTATCAAATTTGATCAACCATTAACAAGTAATCTCAATGTGAGGGGATTTGGTTNCATCGGATGGACGTCAAGTGGTTGATATTATCCCTCCAGGACCAGAACTTCTTGTTTTAACAGGCGAATCTATCAAATTTGATCAACCATTAACAAGTAATCTCAATGTGAGGGGATTTGGTTAGGGAGATGCAAAAATAGTCCTCAAAGATCTATTATGTGTCCAAGGCCTTTTGTTGTTTTTGGCATTTATTATTTTGGCACAATAGATTTTATATTCTAGAATATATTTTAAATTTTAGATTATAATCAAGACTAATTATTCAATCTTTTTATAACAGTAGTCCCTTCATTAAATTAATAAAAAAAATTACTTTTATTAGTTATCTGTTTTTATTTTATCTTTGTTTTGAAGTATCGTATTATTTTCATCCAAAGAAGTCATAAAACAATACAATAAATTTCTTCCAAGCAATCGTCTAACAACTATGTGTCAATAAAAAGACCATTGTCGACCTCAACAAATTTGGACCAACANTAAATTAATAAAAAAAATTACTTTTATTAGTTATCTGTTTTTATTTTATCTTTGTTTCGAAGTATCGTATTATTTTCATCCAAAGAAGTCATAAAACAATACAATAAATTTCTTCCAAGCAATCGTCTAATAACTATGTGTCAATAAAAAGACCATTGTCGACCTCAACAAATTTGGACCAACAGGTATTAAGTACTAAACTCAGTATAGATCAACTCATGAGATAAACAAATCAATTTTAAGTTTCTTTGGGAGCTTGATAAATTATCGTAGTTGAGCATGAGAACTCATTGTTGTACTAATTTTCATTTTCATCGTGTCTTTTTTTTTTTTTTTTGAAGAGTCATCATGTTCATCATGTTGGATTATACACTTTTTGTATATTTCTCTCTATAATGAATCAACAAACCATATCACCTATTGGAGTTGTTCGGTAGGGTATCGATCAATTTCTTCCCTGAAAATTGTAAGTTTGAGCTTTGGAGTTCATATTGGAACTTGATGGTTTACCGCTATTGTTGAAGAGTAACGGACACGATTAAAGGCCTTATAATTCCACTAGTGAGGGTCTATCGGTGGTCTCTGAGGATTCTCTTTTGCTCTCACCTTTTTTTTCAATAGCAAATAAAAAATTCAGCAAACCATGAATTGATCATTAATTGTGAATGTACAAATAAAATAAAGTTCATTTGGATCTACTATAAGATTGAAAGTCAATTTCTGATCGGAATTTCCGAAAAATTAATTTTGAGACTATTTTCTTTCAAACTGGCTACGGAGTTAAAAAACTAATCATCACAAATCACAATCATTCCTAGATTACTTTACTCAGCCCATAACGGCTCCCATTAGCTTGGTAATTCTGGAATTATTTTTTAGGGTGAATTGCACTTGTACCCATAAAAGATTTTAAATTTTTTACTTTGTACCTTTAAAGATTATTTTTTTTATATTACACCTCAATGTAACAAAAGTATTATAATATAATATTTATGTTAGATTTTCATTAGTTTTTTCTTCAGTGGTAATGGGTTGATTTTTGACGGAAAAAATAATAGAGACTAACAAAAGAGCCACATTACAAAATTTTTGATACATTTAAAGGTACAATATGAAAATTTTATTATTTGAGAATGAATGCAAAAAAATTTAATTTTTTAATATTTAAATTATATTTTAGTAAAATTCAGACAAATTTATGATCATTTAATTTTTAAAAATTATAATTTTATAATTAATTATAATATTTTAAAATAGATCTTTTTTTATTATAATTTTTAACTAAATATTATAATCTTAATAAGTAATAAAAGTGTTGTAGTTTTCTTCTAGGGTTAATTGCAAATTATATGCCGAAAGATCGTTTGAATCTTTATTTATACCCCAAAAAATCAAAAAATTTAATTTATACCCTCAAATATAGAATTTTGTATCAATGTGCACCCCTAAAGATAAAAAAAATCTCAATTTGTACCCTCAAAAGTATAAATTTGTATCAATTTGCATCTAAAACTAACTGCCGCCAGTTTGCTACTTAAAATTAAATTGATAAATTTTACCTACATCCCCTCATGTTTATCACTTAATCATTTGGACTCCTTCATATTTAGAATATTACCGCTACATCTCATGACGTTTGTGTACGTGTAACACGTAACTCTTTTTCGTTGATATATGTTAATATAACCATTAAAAAATGTGATTTTATCCTAATAAAAAATTATAATTTCATATTTTCTTTTATTTTGTAGGTTCGATATACTCTAAAGTTCAAAATCAAGTTTATCATTTGAATGTAGATATTTATATAATGTTTTTTTTTTATATCCAATGCAATATATCACTCAATGTGCAACCCTTTATTTTATTAGACATTCAAATGGTAACAAAAAGGGATTATGTGTTATACGTGCACAAATGTCATGAGATGTAGGAGTAATATTCTAAATGTGAAAGTGGTCCAAATGATTAAATGACAATTATAAGGGGATCGAGGTATAATTTATTAATTTAATTTTAGGTGCACATTGATACAAATTTTTATTTTTGATAGTGTAAATTGAGATTTTTTATCTCTGGGAGTATATATTGATACAAATTTTTATTTTTAAGAATATAAATTAAAATATTTAATCTTTAGAGGTATAAATTAAAATTCAAACGGTCTTTCGGAGTATAATTTGCAATTAACCGTTTCCTCTGTTATCGTTGTTTACGATTCAAAGTCTAAAAGTCCTATGATCCGATTCAAAGTATCAGCCAAGAAAGAGGCTATCGGAAATGGCTTCAGGTGATAAAACCCTAGATGAAGCTACTTCGTCTTCGTCTTCGTCTTCTCCATCGCCATCTTCATCCGAGAATTGGAAGGGGCGAATTCTTATCCCTACTTTCCTTGCAGGTTTCTCTCTCTCTCTCTCTCTTCAAAGCCCTAATTCCTTATTCCGTTTTGTTGGCGAGGAAAGTAAGGAGAAACGAACAGTAAATAAATTAAACCGCTGAATTATATGCAGTTAGTTCCGTTTTGCAATTTTTGTTTCCTACGAAGGTCTATCAGCTTGCAATCACGGGATGAGGGAAGTTCGAATTGATTTGTTCTTTTGATTTTAACGTGATATTAGGGATTGCTGGTGGAGGAGTTGGATTGGTATCAAAGCATCGCAAAGTTCACGGCCTCGCTAACATTTCCGCCACTTATGCCACTAACTTTGCCATTGTCACTGGCTGCTATTGCGGTAATCGCCACACCTCTCTCTCTCTCTCTCTCTCTCTCTCTCTCTCTCTCTCTCTCTCTCTCACACACACACACACACACACAGACGTAGTACGAGTTTATTATCTGAGTGAACCAGCATAGAAAATTGTCAAGTTCATAATAAATTGTGATGGGAAAAGCAACTGGGCGTTTGAGTTTTGAGAAATTATTATGTTGGCTTCCGTATGTTGGGGATTCTTTTTTTATCTATCTGTATTTTGGATGAGGATTTATGTATTCAAATGACAGTAAAATGTGAGGAAGCCATTCAATTTCACAGCTTCAGCATTTGTCATATATTCCTGCCTCGTGGGGTGCTATTTGGTGACCATTCTTCATTTTCTTGCTATCTGCTTGATCAATGTGGAAAAATATATATAAACATCTGAAGTTCTTCATGTTTAGGTTTAAGCTGTGAAGTGCTTTTGAATTGAGCTGTGAGATGGTGTACAATTTTTCGATACAGCATACCATTCTTCTCCCCTTCCCCACACCCCAAAACAAGTACACACATGTTGGTTCGTATTCTACTTCTCATGTTACCGAATAGTAGTATGCTTATACCTTTGTATGAGTAGCTGGTTGGGAATGAAAACACATTTGAGTGTGTATATAACTTATATTTAAGTCAATTTGAATGTAGTTGATGTCATATTAACCAATTTAGTTGACTTAACAACGAAGATGTGAGGCAGGCAAAAGTATGTTTGGCCACTAATACAGAGTAATTCTGAGTGACACTTGGGTGGAAGGGGTTGCACATTTCTTGTTAACAATTATGGTCTTTTAACACAGGGATTCATTTGGTCTGGCAGGTGCTCGTGAGTTTGTTAGAAGAAGTAGAAATTCACAACCGGACGATTTACTAAATTCAGCAATCGCAGGTTTTGGTAGTGGTGCTGTTCTTGGCCACCTTCAAGGTGACATTCCATTAATCTCTCTCTCTCTCTCCGTCAACTTTTCTTAATGTCTCTTATTTTCTTTATTAGTAATAGTCTTACTAGAATTGACTAGGCAGGTCTTGAGATCTTGGACCAGATAAGTTGAGACTTGGGATTACCACATAAACTTCTGACTTCTGCTTGTGATGCTTTGGTTATCTTTGAATTAGTCAGGTCATGAGAATCACAACCCCCGGCCCTGACCAACTGCTAGCAAAGTTCCAATTTTTTTTCTTCCTGTTGCTCTGTCTATCAGACAGAAGTGTCTCAAATCCTTCAGACCCATGGTACTTGATCACATACACCTATGTGCGACTGAATCCATGTTTGTTGTGTCAAACAATCAAGCAAACAACTGTTGGAACATGGTTGATCTCTTTCTTATAATGAAATTTCAGGTGGTCAAATTGCTGCTATCCGTTACTCGATCATATTTGCTGTTGTGGGAACCACGGTGGATTTTGCAACTCTTAAACTGAAACCCAAATTGAAGAGCTTCCAAGAATCTGTCCTAGGAAACAGTGGAGGTTCACAGAAGAATGGTGGTGGGTTGAGATTGCCAGAGTGGTCTCCCATTCAAGTCCTTGATGAAGAAGCCCTTGCAGCAAAACGTGCTCGGGAACAACAGTTGAATGCGCACAGAAATGTTAATTTGATCAAAGAAGAAACTTGAGAATACTTATTCTGTATCCAAACTTTGATGTGGTCTCTTTGGTTCTCATTAGTGGCGTGGTTTCAGTACACTAAATAGTAAATCAGGATAATGTCTTGTATTCTGGCATTCCTTTTTCCTCTCCATGTTGATCCATGCTCCATACATGCAATTTTTTTGTGTATTCTGAGACGACGCAAGTGTTTACCTGTTGCTTTGTCCAGTTAAATACTGCCCAATTCTATAAGAATTTGTTGGCTACCAGATATTTATTTGGTTGGTGATCGTGATTGCTTTTGTAAGGCTGTAAAATTTCAGCAGGTTGAAATGATAATGGACGAATTTGACTAAGGCCATTGGTTCAACTCTGTCTACCCCATGATCTGGTTCACCCGTCACCATTAATCTCTCCATTTTATTTGTATATGCCTATAGTACAAGCTCTTCTTTTTTGATGTTCTACTGCCTGATGGGTATACATGTAACAAACAAATTTCGTGCTAGCACAATTTCTTTCCTACAAACAAATAAAGGAATATATCAGACTCATATTATAGAAATACCAAAGTCCAGCTATTAGACAATTGATGGCCATTTCGACAGAGCCTCTTGCGAAGATCAGCACAGCTGCTTACAAAACTACTGACAAATGATCCATTTCTCTTTCAAAAATAATGGTTTGCCCATATAGAGATACGATTAAAACTGTCAGGGAGAATTTATAGGAGTAAACGCACGGCGAGCCATTGGTGAAAAGAAAAAGGCAATGAGAATTCAATACCCATAAATCATGTACACAGATTCCATGTCAGCAATAAGTACCATAAATAACAGCAACATTAGTGAAATCCATCTGAGTCCTTTACGTGATACTGAAACAGGGTTCAAGTCTGACACATCAGAAACAGGGGTTGGATTCAAGTCTACCACATTCCACAGCAATGCTTTCAGGGTTGACAGTCGTGATTTTCACACTTTTCCAAATGAATTGCTTGTTAGATGATGATCGCCGTTTCAAGATCTCATGAAAGCAGAGAGACAAGAGAGACAAACTCCTGCGTTATCCGGCCTTTGGACCTAGTATTTATCACAAAATGTTCCGGGTATTTCCGTAACAACATAAGCAATCCATACCATGGTTTTCCTTTGGCTTCAGGACTAGAATAATCCTCAGATGTGAGATATCTCCTTACACGATTGTGATGCCAGGCATTGCTGAACTGTTCCAACAGCTGCAAACCAAGAACCACAAAAAAGTTATTCCTTCAGCTAGGAATCACATAAAACCACAACTGCAAGTAGAAGAACAACCAGAGCATGAAGTTAAAAAAGAACACTTGCAAAAGGTGCTCATTTGAGCATTGAGCAATAAATTGTCATAAATGCCTAGTTACATACATGAAAGCCATTCTGGGAAAAAGATGTGTTAGTTATTTATACAAATTGAAATTGGGTGGTTGGGGATAAGAAAGGACTCAAAGGAATTCACTATTAAAGAAGTATATGAATTTCTGTTCTAAAAATACAAGATGCTGTGGTCCTAAAGTTCAAACATGCTGTTACGCTAGGGAAGTGGAATTACTACCAGCCGGACTGACCATGAAATCCACCTTATATGTGACCCCATCATAATATGTGTTCCGTCATACAAATGTATCATTGATATGTAATAGATCCCTTAATAGGAGGTACTGACTACTGAACATCAATGCACAAAATCCACCTTAAGAGGTGAAAATACTGTAATCAGTAAAGCATCCGAGGACAACACCAAGTAATTGAATTTACTTCAGTATGAAGTTTCTCCATCCCCATCCATTCTCCAGGACCGCACAGGTCAGATAGCACAGTAGCCACAGATGATACCACATCTTTCTCTTCCAACTGCAAGAGCTGATGATTGTCAGTTTCTCTATCAATCCTTGATCTTCCCTCTCCCTTTTTATCTGCATGAACTACAAGGAATACTGTCTCAATCATAAAATTATACAATCAGGCTTACAAGTTCTAGCAACATGTGGACAGGTGTAGAAGAAATTAAAAAAAATGTCTACTGCTTTATGCTCTATATTCTTTTCTACCCCCTCTTTTCCTTTCAATTTCTAACCCTCATAACACTCCTTATATTTAAATCACAACCTTAAATCCATCAATTTCCACAGGTAGCCGGAAGGAAATGTGAGGCCTCAATTAAATGGGGGCCAAAACTGAATTGACTGCATAGAAAACCATTCACAAAAGGCATTCAAGAAAGTGCATTTCATGTATTATTCAAAGGCCCAAATTTAAGAAAATCCAATAAAAGATCAGACAAGATTCCTAGAAGCTCATATTTATATCAGGTGCTTTGATTCGTTGAATCATTTGGTTTTATAGGTGATGAATAAGTGCTTATTGATGATGACAACGTTCATGTACATCGTATGTTATTTGCATTCAAGGGAAATCAGTACTATGCCACATTACAATTCTGTACTATCTGTACATAACCCCTGGACCAGCTGCAGGCTGGGTTTCTTCACCATGGAAGCCAGCACCAACGGGAACCAACTGTCGGCCTACTAATTTGGTAATTTACACAGATTTTAGTAATTTACAGAGGGTTCTCGATCAACTGTCAATCTAATATTTTGGTGAAGATGAACCATTTCAACCACACGCCTTTTAGATTCACGGTTCATAGCATCCGGAAACATGGAGAAATAGTTGAGGAGTATCCCATCAGATGAGACCAGGTAAGAGCAAACACCTATGTCAGTGACCATGGGATGTATGTGGCCATTAAGCCTTCGCGTAGGTCCTGGCTTGACTGAACTAAACTCTGGAGGTGTTTAATTCATCTCTCAATGTTCATGGAGACAGAAACTTGAATGATCAGTAGTACTATACGAGCCTATTTACTCTTTCACGGGAGCCTCCTTTAGACATTTAACACCCCATCTATGTGCCCACTTGCATTCGTATTCGTATCATGTTAGCATTATACTTCACCACGAATTGGTGGATATTATTCTGACACTGTACTTCGATTGTGTAAGAGCCAACTGGGTGTTGGGTCAGTTTGCTCTCGTTGGTGTAAATTGTATCTAGCGGTAATATCTATCAAATAAGAATGCTCGGATTAATAATTGTAAGGTTGTGAATTTGAACTTATAAACAATCATTGTGTACAATTAAAAAGTTAGTCACTTACTACGTGGTAGATTTTGGCATGCCTTCCCAAAACCCAAAGCCCCAAGTAATAAACCAAATTTCTTGCTTCCGCTGGAGAATAGCGAATGGTCAGAGTGTCCACATGATTCGTTTGTAGATCAATATGACTAACATTATATCTCTAAAAGACCTAGACAGACACAGAAAAATGGATTGTATCTCAGTTCAAACTAGAAACAACTAATAACTGCTCAGTTTTTTCCGGTGGTGTGAAACGTGCTGCAGTCAATCAAGGTAAGATATCCAACCATTGGCCTGAACATCCTTACCTTGAAATTCACAACTAGACTCACCAGACTCATTCTGCATTCAGAAAGATGACTCTATTGAGTCAATACCAACAGCTTGCAAGGTATTAAACCATAAGAAAAAATCCAAGAGAAATTCCACCCCAAGGATAAATAGAAAATCCAACCAACGAGCATTCCTAGTGAATCAAAGGAACAATTGATTGGTACACAAGCAAATAGCACAATTCATTTGCACAAAAAATCACCATACTATATATCTACCAAACTGAAAAGAATCAACAAAACTCAGTGAAGCGGAGAATGAGAATAAAACAGCATAACAGTTCAAGCTCAAAATTCAATCAGGAAAAAAAACTGAAAATTTATGTTCTACGAAGAGTAATCAAAAAGTCAAACCTAAACAAAAACCCCCCATCGACATTGATAAACTGTCAGAAATTCAATAAAATTTACCAGAAAAAGAAATGAAGAGAACTGAAAGAATCACTTACCCAATTGCCCTGCCCCCTTTCCGGCTAAACCCCCCGAACCATACCCGCAGCCGTCATGCCCATCTCTTCTAATCTTCTTAACACCACCAACCGCACCACCACCATCCTCTTCCTCCTCATCCTCCTCATACTCATCCTCACCATACTCCTCAACCCTCCCTCTCCCACCCTTCTTCCCCACCACTCCCCCATACCCCACCCCCAATTGTTGATGCTGATGCGAATAATTCACATTCACAGGGTAATTCACGTGCGCATTCACATGGTGTCTGGGCACAATCGGGCCACCAAGAATACTCCTCACCGGCAACAGAAAATAGAATTCCTTATCCCCAATTTGGAGTAAATCTTGGGAATCGAGCTTGACGGGTGGGTTTCCGGGCAGGTGGAGGACGCCTTCGACGAAGCAGCCGTTCTTACCGAGGACATCGAGCGCGAAACGACGCCGTTGGAAGTCGTAGAAGATGCGTGCGTGATGGCGAGATATGTTCATGCCACCGCCGAGGGAGGAGAGGTCGACGTCGACGGTGGATTTCTTGGAGTTGCGGCCGAGGACTATGGAGTAGGTTTGCATGTAGTACTCGAAGTCCTCGCCTTGAAGCTTCGCGAAGCCCGCTTCAACGTCGCCGCCGCTTCCCATGGTCGTGTTTGGATCGATGGATGTCTAGAGAGAGAAAGAAAGCTTAGATTATAGAAAGAAGAAGAGGAGGGAGGATAGAAAAATACAGAAGGAGAGCTCTGTACACCGGTAAAAAGTGCACAAAGACATTGGGGTTGAGATTACAGTAAACGCCCTGTATTTAAAGGAATTTTTTTTTTAAAAAAAAATCTTACATTTTCTTCTAANAAGACATTGGGGTTGAGATTACAGTAAACGCCCTGTATTTAAAGGAATTTTTTTTTTAATAAAAAATCTTACATTTTCTTCTATTTTTTTTTATTACATCAAATTAATTAATTTGGACCCCCAAAAATTTAAAATTTTCACATTATATCCTCAAATATGAGATTTTTTTATATTATACTCTCAATAGATTTAAAATATTTTAATGTAAGTCTTCTGTTGCTTATTGATTAATCATCAAAAGTATTATTTTTATTATATTTAATAACTAGTAATTACATATCATTTGAGGTATAATTTATTAGATTCTTTTATTTTCTAATTTAATACTTATTCTAGTTATTTGATTTATCTTACAAGTAATTTGGTTGATTTAATGTAATAATAAATAAGATAAATGAAACAAATACTATAGGGTCATTTGGTTGCAGTATAGGGTGGATTACAAAGTAATAACTAATTAAGACTCTTTAATATAATTTTATACAGCATTTGGTTGCAAAAATATACTCTGTATTATATATAGTTTTATTTCAAATTCTTATTTAAATATTGTTTATCCAAATAATACACTATATCCATATTATTAAATAAATTATAATACCACCTGAGAATGTGGTATTATAGTTNGTTGTTATTGTTTCAGCAGTGTGCTGTTATGATATAGATCGAATATTATGGTTTTGATAATCAGGTAAGCTTGTCTTTGATAAATGATTAAGGTTGGTTTAAACTGCCATATGATGAACNCACTATATCCATATTATTAAATAAATTATAATACCACCTGAGAATGTGGTATTATAGTTCAATTAAAGTATATTGAGTTATAAATTTACTATTTTACTCAATAGATAAACAAATATTAATAACTATACAAGATTGATAGTAGTTTTTTAGTTAATATGGAATTGCTACTCTATTATTCAATTCTTAATTCAGTGTTTTATCAAATACTGGATTACAATGAATAATATTTTTGTTCCAATTTTAATCTTATATTTTATTAACTTGTACGGAAATTAGTCTAAATTACCTAAATACAGTCCATTTCTTTACAGTATGACAACCAAACGAAAAGGTATAGAAGGAAAAATTTGATAAAAATTGGATTGTCGAGATTTAAAAATAAGACAACAATTTAATCGTTGTGGGAATCCAAATCGTAAAAAACTCATTTAAAATTAAATTAGAAAAATATTCTAAAAAGTAAGGTTTTAATACGTCTTCAGTATTTTTGTCGTAACTTTTTACTCCGATATTCGATTGACTTAATTTTTGCAACATTAAAAATAAGATTTCAAGAGTTAAAAAATATATATCATGAAAATTTCGTGAACCACNTTTCTTCTAATTTTTTTTATTACATCAAATTAATTAATTTGGACCCCCAAAAATTTAAAATTTTCACATTATATCCTCAAATATGAGATTTTTTTATATTATACTCTCAATAGATTTAAAATATTTTAATGTAAGTCTTCTGTTGCTTATTGATTAATCATCAAAAGTATTATTTTTATTATATTTAATAACTAGTAATTACATATCATTTGAGGTATAATTTATTAGATTCTTTTATTTTCTAATTTAATACTTATTCTAGTTATTTGATTTATCTTACAAGTAATTTGGTTGATTTAATGTAATAATAAATAAGATAAATGAAACAAATACTATAGGGTCATTTGGTTGTAGTATAGGGTGGATTACAAAGTAATAACTAATTAAGACTCTTTAATCTAATTTTATACATCATTTGGTTAGAAAAAATACTCTGTATTATATATAGTTTTATTTCAAATTCTTATTTAAATATTATTTATTCAAATAATACACTGTATCCATATTATTAAACAGATTATAATACCACCTGAGAATGTGGTATTATAGTCNTTTCCTTTTTTTATTTTACAAAACAATTTTGACTCTCAAAATCATTTTTTACATGTTATCTTTTTATCTACTTTTATAATTTCTTTGATTTACGTGGTTTGACTTCAGACTCCCTAGAATTATTATTTCTTGATCATTTGCACTTCGGTGTACCTATTTGAGATCAAACACTTATTTCGTCAAAAATACATCCTATTGATGTTTGACCAAACGAGTAGGAAAAATNAACAAATATTAATAACTATACAAGATTGATAGTAGTTTTTTAGTTAATATGGAATTGTTACTCTATTATTCCATTATTAATTCAGTGTCTTACCAAATACTGGATTACAATGAATAATATTTTTGTTCCAATTTTAATCATATATTTTATTAACTTGTACGGAAATTAGTCTAAATTACTTAAATACAGTCCATTTCTTTACAGTATGACAACCAAACGAAAAGGTATAGAAGGAAAAATTTGATAAAAATTGGATTGTCAAGATTAAAAAATAAAGATTTCAAAATAAGACAACAATTTAATCGTTGTGGGAATCCAAATCGTAAAAAACTCATTTAAAATTAAATTAGAAAAATATTCTAAAAAGTAAGGTTTTAATACGTCTTCAGTATTTTTGTTGTAACTTTTTACTCCGATATTCGATTGACTTAATTTTTGCAACATTAAAAATAAGATTTCAAGAGTTAACAAATATATATCATGAAAATTTCGTGAACCATNTGGTTTAAACTGCCATATGATGAATGGGACATTGCGCAAGGGCTTTGAGTTCCATATTTTTAATATATTTGGATGGGACTATGAAATAATTATTGGCTATCCCTTCCCTTCTGATGGCAGTGATTGATTGATAGAACCAATGATACAGTTTGCTAATGCCTACCATTATTTTAACACACGATCTGGATGTGTTTCCATCTTTTTAGTGTAAAAGTGCTCTTTTCAATTATTAAAGTCGTTCTGGTTGTATAATTCCATCTCAGAAGCTAAGTTAAATGTGGATTGGAAATAGTAAATCTTTTTCTTTTGGGTGCATATTGCAGGTAAAGCAAAATTNCTAGAAGAGAATCCTGATGCATTGTTGAATTAAGCAAACTGAGTGTTGCGGATTCGTTAGATATTGTGCTAGAGATATGTCCCTAAATCTCTATGCTCTTGTCGAGGTTTTAAATGTTGTGGTGAAGTGTCAAACTCTGCATATTATTATGTAATGTATTGNTTCTAATTTTGTCTTCTTTGAGTCCTTCCATTGTGGTAAACAATGAGATGATTTCTGAAATTGGTATCTAGATGCATAACTGCTTGATGACTTTAATTCCCTGATCTATGTTAAATTTGCACCTAAGGTTCTGGTGCTGTAAGTGTAAAATAAAACTGGCTTCTATGATTATGGTTAATTAATCAGCACTCTTTATCATCAAACTGACTTGTATGATTACACTTGCAGAGCACTTGATCTTTATGATTGGATAGTTTAACTTTGCATTCTACAAAATCCTTCTTGTGTATGAAAATCACATGGTACTGCAGTGGTCGATCTCTCTTANACCTAAGGTTCTGGTGCTGTAAGTGTAAAATAAAACTGGCTTCTATGATTATGGTTAATTAATCAGCACTCTTTATCATCAAACTGACTTGTATGATTACACTTGCAGAGCACTTGATCTTTATGATTGGATAGTCTAACTTTGCATTCTACAAAATCCTTCTTGTGTATGAAAATCACATGGTACTGCAGTGGTTGATCTCTCTTATTGCATCTGGGAAAATTCTTTAGTGGGTTGCCTTCAATGCACAAAATTGATGGTTCTTATGTCATCACAGTTGCATAAATGTCAACAAGATGGAAGGTTCTTATGCTAAACCATAAACCATCATGCCTTCCAAATAAAGTAGAAGTGGCATTGTTACTTATCCAGCTCTTCTATCTGAATCTTTTTTTCAAACTGCTGTTTTTCCTTCCAATGCCATAATCCTGTGTCCATTTTTAACTTCCTTCCAAGAATTTATTGTGTTTGTGATACGACTACAATTAGGATTGAGGAGGATTTTTCATTGCAGATCCAATGAAGCATATTGTGAAGATTATGATACCGTGTGGGGTCATGTATGCCATTTGGATTAGCCTCTTGCAGACATCAGCGNTCGTGTCAGGGAATGTCACCTAGGTGATAATTAGCGAACGATAACGTTTGTGGGAGTTTGTTCTTTACTCGTTATGTGGTGTCTTTGTTAGTTGTTATTGTTTCAGCAGTGTGCTGTTATGATATAGATCGAATATTATGGTTTTGACAATCAGGTAAGCTTGTCTTTGATAAATGATTAAGGTTGGTTTAAACTGCCATATGATGAATGGGACATTGCGCAAGGGCTTTGAGTTCCATATTTTTAATATATTTGGATGGGACTATGAAATAATTATTGGCTATCCCTTCCCTTCTGATGGCAGTGATTGATTGATAGAACCAATGATACAGTTTGCTAATGCCTACCATTATTTTAACACACGATCTGGATGTGTTTCCATCTTTTTAGTGTAAAAGTGCTCTTTTCAATTATTAAAGTCGTTCTGGTTGTATAATTCCATCTCAGAAGCTAAGTTAAATGTGGATTGGAAATAGTAAATCTTTTTCTTTTGGGTGCATATTGCAGGTAAAGCAAAATTCTAATTTTGTCTTCTTTGAGTCCTTCCATTGTGGTAAACAATGAGATGATTTCTGAAATTGGTATCTAGATGCATAACTGCTTGATGACTTTAATTCCCTGATCTATGTTAAATTTGCACCTAAGGTTCTGGTGCTGTAAGTGTAAAATAAAACTGGCTTCTATGATTATGGTTAATTAATCAGCACTCTTTATCATCAAACTGACTTGTATGATTACACTTGCAGAGCACTTGATCTTTATGATTGGATAGTCTAACTTTGCATTCTACAAAATCCTTCTTGTGTATGAAAATCACATGGTACTGCAGTGGTTGATCTCTCTTATTGCATCTGGGAAAATTCTTTAGTGGGTTGCCTTCAATGCACAAAATTGATGGTTCTTATGTCATCACAGTTGCATAAATGTCAACAAAATGGAAGGTTCTTATGCTAAACCATAAACCATCATGCCTTCCAAATAAAGTAGAAGTGGCATTGTTACTTATCCAGCTCTTCTATCTGAATCTTTTTTTCAAACTGCTGTTTTTCCTTCCAATGCCATAATCCTGTGTCCATTTTTAACTTCCTTCCAAGAATTTATTGTGTTTGTGATACGACTACAATTAGGATTGAGGAGGATTTTTCATTGCAGATCCAATGAAGCATATTGTGAAGATTATGATACCGTGTGGGGTCATGTATGCCATTTGGATTAGCCTCTTGCAGACATCAGCGATTCCAAACAGTTATACTTGGTTGGTGAGTTCTGTTCCCTGGTGTCTTTTTTATCAATTTATCCAGATGGTTATATATGCGTTCTTGTTTCCATTCTCTTTGATAGATATAGTTTATGGTGTCCTGTTGCTTATCTTTTTCCAGCTACCCATATACTTTATTGTGTCATTAGGATGCTATGGCCTATTAATGGTTGGAGTTGGTCTGATGCAATTTCCAGTATGTCCCCAAGAGGCACTGCTGTTGCAGCAGGTACTTCATAGGTTCCTTTTATCTCATGCTTCCAAAAATCAATGCTTGTTTAGGTTTATAGTGAGAGATCTAAAATTGGAGTGTTTGGGCCTAAGAATTCATTATAAGACCAATGATATTTTTTAGCATGTAAATTTGGAATTGCACTTTAGAAAGATATTTGGAAGTGCACTTTTATCTCATGCGGACTTGCGGACTGTGAAAGGTCACATTATTTGGCAAAAAGGCAATCATTTAAATGTTATCCTAAATCCACAAACATAAAACAGTTCAGATAGAATTGGTATTCCTACAATCCCAGCAATCTTGTCTCAGCAGTTGTCTTTTGTGGGTGCCTTTTAACTGCGCATATTGAGTGTTATGTTCTTTTGCGAATGGTGTGGTAGGAGTTAGAGTTCTCGAGTTTGCTAAAATAAAGGCTTACTTTATTGATCAGTTGATCCAAATTAGATTTTGTTTCCTGATGTATGGATTCATAACTGCGACCTTTATTTGGTAGGACATTGTCGAGGCCAAGGGATTCCTAAAGCAGAGGGGCATTGATGTGGGCTGTGATTGACCTGAAGACTAACTTCTTTCATACGTTGCATAGAATGAGAGGATACAGAAACCCCAGTTTTGAGTTTTTCTGTACGTGCAACTAAGGTTGTGTTCGCCCACCTGGAGAAGAATTCTTTCCCCTAGAAGAGAATCCTGATGCATTGTTGAATTAAGCAAACTGAGTGTTGCGGATTCGTTAGATATTGTGCTAGAGATGTCCCTAAATCTCTATGCTCTTGTCGAGGTTTTAAATGTTGTGGTCAAGTGTCAAACTCTGCATATTATTATGTAATGTATTANGGGCTTTACTATGTTTATGACTAATCATCTTTAGTGTAGTGAACGTAATATGATTAATAGAAAAAAGAGGCTAATATATATGTGTTGTATTCTAGTCATGTATGCCTTTAAGTGTGGTTTGTGTGATCATTTCTTCTTCTTTTCAGATATATCTTTTGATGCAATCTTTGATGTTTTCAATTTAGTGCTCGAAAGTTACTACATTACTTTAGAGTGAACNGTGGCATTGTTACTTATCCAGCTCTTCTATCTGAATCTTTTTTTCAAACTGCTGTTTTTCCTTCCAATGCCATAATCCTGTGTCCATTTTTAACTTCCTTCCAAGAATTTATTGTGTTTGTGATACGACTACAATTAGGATTGAGGAGGATTTTTCATTGCAGATCCAATGAAGCATATTGTGAAGATTATGATACTGTGTGGGGTCATGTCTGCCATTTGGATTAGCCTCTTGCAGACATCAGCANGTAAAGCTAGCATTGAAATATTGTTCATTTTTATTTAATCATTGGGTTATATGCGTTTGTTTTGGATTTATTCATCTTTAATGGAGTGCATCCAGAAACCCAATTCACGTGGGGCTTTACTATGTTTATGACTAATCATCTTTAGTGTAGTGAACGTAATATGATTAATAGAAAAAAGAGGCTAATATATATGTGTTGTATTCTAGTCATGTATGCCTTTAAGTGTGGTTTGTGTGATCATTTCTTCTTCTTTTCAGATATATCTTTTGATGCAATCTTTGATGTTTTCAATTTAGTGCTCGAAAGTTACTACATTACTTTAGAGTGAACGAAATTATGTTGATTGTTTAACATGTGTAAAGAGTTCTGCTATATGAAATAATCAGGGGTTCTTGTCAGCTCTTGTAGTAGTCTGAAGAGATTCATGGGAGTGTCCATTATCCTTTCCAGAATGCATGAAGGTTAACATGTCGGTGACCCAAGAAACTGTTATGCTTTCTATTAACCCAGTGTTAGATATACCTCTTATAAAATATAGATTGTGTGTTCCTCTCATTTGGCTGAGTAAAAAAATAATGATGGATGATGGAAAAAAAGACAAAATACAAGATCCTTAAAAGCTTGTTGAGTTCTGCTGAAGATGATTAAATATTTGAACATCCAAAATATTAACTCGATGTTCTAGAGAATTTTGCATGTTCCATTCATTTCTATTTGATTTTTTTAATTTATAGAAACGGTATATATTTATTGATCATAAGCTGACTATATCATGCTGAATGTGGGGAATTACAATGGGAGGACACTCTTCTTTCCAAAGACAAAGAGTAATACAATTTTTTGCATGTTTAGCAAGACAATTTGCCACTTCGTTTCCTTCTCTTAGAGTCCAAGAGATTGAATATTCCTCAAAGCCATTGGCAATGCTCCGGAGTTGGTCAGTGAACATACTAACAACAGACAAGTTCAACGTCCCACACTTCAAAGTATCGGTTACAACTTTTGAATCCTTCTAGTATAACTTTTGTATAACCCGAATGAATGGCCAATTTGGCCGCTGTTGTTGCTACTATGACCTCAACTGTGCTATGGCCTCAATTAGATCATGTTTCAATTTGCCTTGAAGTCTTTGAGAGTGACCCATAATAAAGGACCCATGCCAGTCTCTAACAACTACACACACCTTGGAGACACCCTTTGACTCAAACACAGCTCCATCAAAGTTGATTGTTAGAACACCCATAGGGGGAGTAGTCCATTTTCCATAAACTGATGCCAACTGTTCTATTGTTGTGTGCTAATAGTCCCTATTTTACCAAGCCGAAATTGAGAAAGGAATTCTTGAGCATAATCAGAGATTTGAAAAGGGTGCGTCGGGTTTTCTTCATGTTGAACTCTATTGCGGTTGAACCATAATGACCAAAGTAGAACCACACCCAAACATTGCTGATCAGCACTCAGCTGGCTGAGAAAATTCAACAAACCAATCATTCAAGGCACCCTCTTCATTCAATTTTTTTTTTTTTTTGGATTGCATATGTTTTGCTCGTCTATTAGGTTTTTTAAGAGTGCTTGCTGTGAGGTACATGGTCAAACAGCATTATAAAAATGTGACAGGGGAAAACGGGTTGTAGTACTTTTTTACCTCATAAATTATTGAAAAAAAAACAATTGCATCCTCCCAAACAATCTGAAGATGACCAAAAACAAACAAGCAGTCTGAAAATTTATTTCTTTTGAAACTCAGTATCATCATGGAGGGTGTGGTGGAGATTTAGATGTAACATATTATTTCTTGGTATGCAGAGATGCTCTTGATGCATTGGGTTTGGTTCGTTATTGCTGTAGAAGAATGCTGATGACTCATGTTGATCTCATTGAGAAGCTTTTGAACTACAATAGTAAGCTGTATCTCTCTCTCTTGGGGAACTGTGGATGACTGGGTGGGTAGGCTCATTTTTTTGTGAATTTTTTAGCATCGACTCATGGCACAAGCCATTCGTGATATGTAGAGAAATAGATTGGACACATTGGGAGAAGTGCATGTGAATGACAGTATTTTCTTGATGGACCTTATTTAAATTTTTGGCACCTAAAATGTTTCATGAGACTTCAATTGGAAGACGAGAACATGTTGCAAAAGTGGTAAGCATTGTGAATTCTGTTGTAGTTGTTGGATACCTTTTCCAAATAGGAATGAAAATCATTAATTTTAGTCACTGGAGGATACTAGCTGTCAGATGAGAATGAACAGTGTTCCCACCACCGTGGTCCCTCCTCTCCCTAGTTCTTTTCTTTCCTTTTTCCTCTACATAGTTGGTGTCACTTGCATGAACTAACATGGTGTACTTTTCTAGCTTTGGAGAAATCTGAAGGCAGCTGAGCAGGCTTATGGAGCTACCAGAACATAATGGTACACCACGCTTGTGTGTGTGTGTGTATGTATGTGATTTTTTCTTTATTTGAGTTTTATCTGATGGACATGTTTTCAACGGGACGAAGCAATGGACTTTGGAACAGACATTAGAGTGTTCTTTTTAGGTGCGAGTTTTATGGCTCCTGTTTCTGCTATGAAATGTTTGCTCATGCATGAGAGCACTTCCCATTGCTTCGTGTAGTTGTTGAATGTCGATGATTGACTGAAAATGCGAGAATTTTTCATGAATGGGAAATCATGAAGCCATTTAGTGCCCCATTTTATTTGAGTCTGGTTCATTATTCAACCGATGGCCAAAACCAGATCCACTAGGAAAGAATGAAGATAAACAGAATCACAATAGTGAACAACCTTGTTTTCAGATCTCATGACATCAATGAGAAGCCCAAGCTGGATTCACAGAACTTGTCCCAGAAAGGAGCATATTGGCAGCTGCACTTGACTCGAACAAACCAAGCTTGTCCAGGAGTTTCTTGATCAGATCACCTGCCCCATATGAAGCGCCTGATACCACCACTGCAGTGGCAACATAGTACAATGCAGTCCTGATATACGTGTAAAACTTGGGTGGCCGCTGGATGTAAGCCTTTCCGATTGCAATAACAGTGATGCATAAAAGAGAAGCTGCCAAGACGGCGAGAAGCTTGAAGTCCTTATCATTGCTCTCACGAAACGAGAAGCCATAGGTCACAGGTGAGATAAGGCCGAATACAAGGAACGATAACACAGCAAATGTTGCATGGAGTAGGAAATTCTCTCTCCGACCAAGTGTTTCCTGATACTCATCTCTTTGTTCACTTGTTAGGTTGGAGACTTCTCCAGAGCGTGCATTTTTCAAGTCCCTCAGCTGCAGGCTTTCGTGTTAGTTCGAGATGCAAGAAAAAAGCAAAGACTCTGCGACAAATGGAGCCTAAAATGGTATATGTTCGTTTTTATATTCGTAAAACAAAAGTAGTACATAAATAAGATAAATTAAGAGAGAGTTGATTTTGGTGGTTTAGATATATTTGTACGAAAGATGTTCTACTGCACTAGTGATGAAGAGGTTGTATCATACCCGTCAATGATAATTCAATGGATAAAAGTAGACCAAAATTAATTTGAGCTTCTACCCAAAATCAACCGGTTTTGAAAGCATATACCCAAAATTGGGTGGTTTTGAAACTAATTCCCAAATTCAGGTAGTTAGTGGTTGCCGGAGTTAGATGGTGGTCGCCTAGTCGGAGTTTGGGATTGTAAAGGAAGGAAATGAGAAAAATAAGAGAGAAAGAACGGGCTATCCTACATCGGATAGCTTTAGGGTGTGTGTGTGAGTTTATATGGATGCCATGGACCTTGCACTTTTATGTGCAAGTGTTTGTGGTTATCTTATGATCAAAAAATCTAGCCCATGTACATTTCTAGGGTGATTCTGGTGTTGGGCTCAATTTTCCCTGACTTAGGGCCTGACCATAGGTCAGGTGAGGCCTTAGGGCCTGTGTGTTGGTGGGGCTGGGGTTATCTCACATCGGATAGCCTTAGGATGTGTGTGTGAGTTTATATGGATGTCATGAACCTTACACTTTTAAGTGTAGGTGTTTGTGGTTATCCTATGATCAAAAGAGAGAGAAAGAACGAAGAGGGAAAGAAAGGGAAGTTTGAGTGATTTAAACAATAGAAATGTCAATTGGTCTGACTTTTTAATAAAGCTGTCGGTCCATATGACGTTTTATAAAGTTTACAAATTGGCATTTTTAATGTTAAAACATTAGTTTAATTAACATTTTTAAGACAAATACATTCAGTTGGACTGACATTTTTAAAAATTACCTGAGTTTGAGAAGTATTTTCAAATCCACTCGATTTTGAGAATAAATTTTCAAAACCGTCTGGTTTTGAGTAAATGCTCAAATTAAATTTGAATGAGAAAATTAAATAATATATGATATTTTACGATTAACTATGAATATGACAATTGAAAGAGGATAATGGCGTAATAGAGTATATATAATTGATCTCAAATAGTTGGGATGAGGTTTTATCAAGTTGAGTAGTAGTCTGCTTGTGTGTTCTATCTTGCTTTAGGGGTGAGAACTTCATTAGTTTTAGCCATGGTTGATATTGCAGTCATATTGATGAACTAGTTATTGTCTGTGCCTGAAGGCACAGAGTAATAAAAAATGGTAAACAATAAACATATTTGCATTCATATTCAAAATCAAATCACAAACATAGAGAAGAGATAAATGAATTTAAATATTGGTTTATAGTGGGGGTGAGAGGTGGTAGGCGAGAGTGGTGGTAGCAGGAGATGGTGATGGTTGTGGTGGGTGGCAATGACCGTGGTGGCGGTGATGACAACAAAGGTGACGGCAACAAAGGTGACGGCGACGATGGTAGTGGTGGAGGCGGTGGCGGGGGTGGAGGCAGTGGCGGTGGCGGTGGTGGTGGGGGT